CCATGAAAAATCAACTCGATGGTTTACCATTTTTTCTTAAGTATGGTGCTCCGCTATAATGATATGCATACAGTGGTATACCGTTGACCGTGAATAGATACACGGATCTTACATCTAAGACCGAAAAGGATTTTGGGAAATGTATTATATTTACATATAGACATGTAAACAAAGCAAAACTTATAATCTAAAGCGGAATATCAATTTTACAGGTTGTTTTCTCCCGAGGTTTTTTTTCGTGTTCGTCTGTTTTCCTCCCTCTTTGAAAATCAACATGTGGGTTGAATAATGGGAGTGATAGTTGTGAATATACATCAACTCACGATCCGCTGAAAATTTAATTTGTGATAGCCTGGAACCCAGATGACTAGCATTTTTCATGGTCGCATTGATTATGAAAATGGCTGTAATATTATGGCATATACTGGCTGGTAGGTGTTTAGCACTACTATATGGCATATACTGGCTGATAGGTGTTTAGCACTACTATATGGCTATATACTGGCTGGTAGGTGTTTAACACTACTATATGGCATATACTGGCTGATAGGTGTTTAGCACTACTATATGGCATATACTGGCTGGTAGGTGTTTAGCACTACTATATGGCATATACTGGCTGNTAGGTGTTTAGCACTACTATATGGCATATACTGGCTGGTAGGTGTTTAGCACTACTATATGGCATATACTGGCTGATAGGTGTTTAGCACTACTCTATGGCATATACTGGCTGATAGGTGTTTAGCACTACTATATGGCATATACTGGTTGGTAGTTAGCTTCTTGCCCAATATATCAAACTCCATTTCTAAGCGATGCTAGGAGAGAATTAAGAAAAGAAAGAAAGATTACGAAAATTACCTGCATGATTAGTCCTGATATTAACCTCGTGATGCATAGGATTGTGAGATTGACTGTGGATGCGAGATGGCGAAGCTTTTTTATCTCGTCAACATATTCAATCCCACAATCCCTTGTACCACCTACACGAGATCGTTAAGTACCCTGAAGACTTCCTACAGACCCCGGCTGCCTACCCCTCATACATCATATACACCTTTAATTCTCTTCAATAAGTCCTCAGTCATTAATGCTGTTTACATACTACATGTGGATGGTTTGACGAGCTGTACTTGACCTTGGCGATTACTAGAGATGACGTCACTCCAGCTCAACACATTGCCTTCACCAGCACCACAGTCACGTGACATGGTAGATATCTCGTTAGGTCCCAGTACTCTGTTCCATATATTCAGCCCGGTAAGGTCACCGATGTAACACTGTGAGGCTGAAAAGGATCCTCCCACACTGTCCTGTTCTTGTCCTATGATGAGTGTACCGCCTCCTCTGATCACCTGACCTGTCATGAAGTTTGTTTTTCTTGCAGCAACGATGCCATCTTTATAAACTAACACCTGTCCAGCATTATTGCTCCACGTCGTGCACATGTGATGCCATCTGTCATCGTTTGCAGCTACACCGGTACCCCTGGTAATAATAGTTGGATTACAAGAGTTAAAACTGTAACTCGTCAAAAATATATATATATYGCTAATTACCAGCGCAAGTACTGCAGTGGCGCAGCTAAGCGGATTTTAAACTCCTTCTAGATTGACGAAAATAATTGTTTTAGTTTATAACAACATCCCTGATACATTGAGATTAACCTGCAAAGCGCTATGAAGCCTTTGACACACTGATGCCGACCATGTTGACAATGGTAAAATGGTTTCCGTTACTCAGGGGCTTTACAGTTAACGTGACCTAAAAGTTCTGAAATTGAACAGAGATGTTAGGTGGAAACGTACCACGAGGATCCTCCTATGTATAAACCAAAATTACTGGTCGTCAAAAATATCAATTCATTAGTACTTCCAGGTACAGCGTAACTTATGACAGTATCACCAACAGTGGTCTTCAACCAGAAGCAGAACGTCACGGACGACATGCTGGGGATGCCTTTGATAATGACGTAATCACTAGTTGTTCTTCTAGTAAACTTTAGATCTGTAAATAACGTTAACAACATTCATTATAATAAATGAGTGGAAATTAACAATAACAGAGTTATTTTGCACATATACAAAATTAAGGTAAACATAAACGGCTATGTTATGCTTTTCATCAATAGATTGAATGCCTTTCCCTTTAGAATAAGAATTATAAAGCAAATGAATGAGACACGGCAACAGTCATGTCTATACGATGTCTTGTGTTAAAGTCTTCCAACATGGCGGCTGTGATTTCATATGCACCCTAAGAACCCCGGGTTGTTTGTCAATATAGCAGATCCAGGATGATTTCAAGGGGTTGTATGAAGTCAATATAAAGATTTTTTCTCTAGATTTTAATTTATACTCTTTATTCGTATCTTTTGCTAGGGAATGACTAGCAATCAAATTCTTTCTATACATAAAAAGGGTCTCGATGGGAAACTCCTGTTCTCAGTTGCAATTGTCAGTTACAATTTCGTATATTTGTCAGTTGTGAAATATATCTTCGTCAGTTGTCAGTTAAAATTTATGGCATTTTGTCAGGTGTCAGTAAACCCCATCCAGAGCATAAAAGGTGTTTGTGATTTGATCCAGTTATATTCCCGTTGTTATCATTTTTCTTTTAAATGTACCTTTTAATATTGATACGACAACTTTAGTATCGGTTCTCGCGGTGAAAACCCCAGCACTGATAGCCTGACAGACGTAAGTCCCAGAGTCAGCGGTCTTCAATCTTGTTATGGTCAGACTTCCATTCTCATGGACCCGTATTCTATCATCAGATGACAATTGTTGGTTGTCTTTATTCCAAGAAATCCTAGCAGGAGGATCTGCTGTAGCTACACAGTCCAGTCTCAGACTTTCACCAACTAACAACATAACTGAGTAGGGAGGGGTGGTGGTGAATTTGGGCAATGTCACAACATTTATTTGAGTTTTCCTAATAGACAACCCAAGGAAATTAGAAGCTTGGCAGACATATATTCCTGTGTCCTGTTTTTCCACAGAGTATAAAGTTAAACGGCTGCCATTTATGACGGTACGACGAGCAGGAAACATACCAAGGACTTTTACCCACGTGATCGTTGGTGTGGGGTGTCCTGTCACATGACACTTTGGCAGGGTTACATTGGTTCCTTCTTCCACGTAAATAGGTCCAAAAGATAAGGAAATACGGGGAAGATCTGAAAGAATTGAACTTATTTAACCGACAAATAAAATACGTCTATTGAAACAACCAATATCTTTATGATGTAACAGAAGTGTAATGACTTACAGTTGACGACAAGTGTAGCTGTCTGGCTATCTTGTCCAAGTATATTACTGCCTTTACACTCATACACTCCTGAATCGTTACTACTAACATTCCTTATCTCCAGATTATGACTCCTATCAACACCTGCCAGACCTGCATCCAACACACTTCTTGTCTTGTCTAGTAAACCACCAACTCTCCTCCAGCCAATCACAGGTACTGGATTACCACTCCACCCACAATGCAACACGGCTGTATCGCTTTCATTAACAATTAACAAGGGAGGGGATACTTGAACCTCTGGTGCAGATATCGATTGACCAGGTCTACCATCCCGTCCAGCTACACCACGTGGTCCACGATCACCTCT